CACTAGACTTATCATCTACCCTGTCCACACTGAGAGCTGTGTCTTTCTTAGTGCATGTATCAGCATCAGATCTACTACTCGAGACAAACCGTAACATGGACGCCTGTTGTTTTGACATGGGGATTGCGTGGGGTCACTTCACTTGTAAATTGCAGACGATAAAGTTCAAACAATGTGTCAACCGATCATAGCCCCTGTTACAACGACGCGATTGAAGGCGCCATCTAGCGGCAGGATACGTTCTATTTTTTACAATGGGAATTTCCAAGATTCGATTTATAGTTTCGTCTGTGAGCAGCTTAAGAACTCTGTATTAATTGCTGTTTTAAGGTATTTTTCAAAATTAAGTAGATCAGAATCTGTGCGTGCAAAACACTGTGATAATATTAAATCATGATTTCACTATAACTTATTAAGCACTATAAACAATATATAATTGTTAAAACATACAAAATACATAACTTACCTGTAGGATCGGTGAGTGTTAGTCTACAGTGGCTTGTGTGTTATGCTGGTGAAGTGCTCAACATTAGTCTTTTAAACAAGGCCAATCAAACGTAAGCTGTCTTTAACAAAGGAGTGAACCAAGCTATGCACTCTTACCCCACATGTACTGAAAGGCAGTTAAATAATATTAAAGCTGAATTAAAGATAGTAGTAGTTAGTAACTAATTAGAAAGCAGGTTTATTTTATTCTGTACTTCACAGTAAAAGTTAGTACATTATTTCAATACAACATTAAATATATTAAATTAAAATACAGATATATTTAATTCTGTACTTCACAGTCACATATGTATTTTAAGAAACTCATTTACTTTATACATAAAATGTATACGTACGCAAACTCGAACTTGTCGCTATTTTATGCCAACACGACGTAAAACTCAACTCAACTAATGTAACCTCTTCACCATTAATGCCACTGGCACGTCAAATATTGAGATGTCCTCCACATGTCTACCACTGAAGCTTCACTAATACCTGGAATATTGAGATGTCCTCCACATGTCTACCACTGAAGCTTCACTAATACCTGGAATATTGAGATGTCCTCCACATGTCTACCACTGAAGCTTTACTAATACCTGGAATATTGTAGCATTGGTAGAACGATTTCCCACCAAGGGTTGATGAGTCCTTCACATTTTGGTAAAGAGCCCATGCTTGGTTGTACATACAAAGTTGTTAAATGTGAACACCAAAACCTGGAGCTGTTGGAATATTATTGCTCGATGTGTTGAAATGATCCCTTTATCATGTCCGCTTGTGGAGACAGTTTTGTCCCTCTGAACGTTTTAGCACAGACCTTGATATGAAAATGTTAGGTAGTCCCATATGTCTCACGAGTTAATGTGAGTAAATTAGTGGAAAGACATTAGCCATTTGTTGGTTATTGCACGATATCATCGATATACTTTTTGCCTGAAGCTTGTTTATGAATAGTTGAAAGTTCAAATGTTTTGACAAATTAAAATCAGCCTTATGAACTTATACATACACTTTGTTTACTTACTATAAATTGTTTCTTGTTGTTAACGACAAGCATGGGTTGCGGACGACCTCTTACTTGATATAAGATTGAAAAATACCAATGCTACACGAAATATGAATCACTCAATTTATCAGAGCTTATTTATCAAATTATACAAACGGGAGAGGGTGGTTTCCACATAGCTTGACTATTTGGACGAGTCGGACGTAATTGTAAAATCTCGAAGAACTACTGAGAATTGAAAAACGGCATGACAGTGAATCTGAAAGGTAATGGCTGGCAACATATACTTACATTTTTAATCAAAATATACTGACTGAGTTTGGCTTTACGCCACTTTTTAGCAATATTCCAGCAACATCACGGCGGGGGACACCAGAAATGGGCTTCACACGTTGTACCCATGTGGGGATTCGAACCCGGGTCTTCGGCCTGACGGGCCAGCGCTTTAACCACTAGACTACCCCACCGCCCCTAATCAAAATATAAGACAGACGGGTAGAACTGGTAAAACATTACACGTACTGTCATCAATGATGATAATCATGGAGTAAATGTATTCAATGATTATGCAGACATGAAAATATATTTAGATTTAAATCCAGTAAAAAATACATGAAGCGTGATGGAGGTGTAGCTTAGTGCAAATCATGTCGGAATAGTCTTTGATACAATGGACAAATTATTATTTTATAAAACATGAGACGGTCTAATTATGGGGAAAAATCAGGAAGATCAAAGTTGGTTGCAATATACCTCCCAGATCAGCGATGTTTCTGTTTCATGACAGGAACCACGTTCTTTATTCACCAAAATATGCTCCCATCATTTTCATGGTAGATTCACCCCATTAAAGAGTGGGTGAGTAAGTTAAGATTTCTGGTCACATCGGCAGTATTTCAGCCATATTGTGACCCAACCAAGTTATACATTCATGACACACACATGTACAATATAAAAACCTGTTAAGAACACTACATTAGAAACAATCTGAAAATCACTTTCTTTGGGTCTTACTGTAGGTTTGCTTCCTGCATGGACCCCAGCTGAATTTACACCCTCACCTTTGCCCTTGGCGATTGTGCTATTTATATATTTACAAAACATACTAGGAACCATGGGCATCCAAGTTGTAAAGCCATCCAACCCCCATCCAGTTATTAGATGATGCACCCCATGGGCATGTCTTTGGACTGAATCATATACTTCCTACTTTACAATGAGTTTGAGTTGAGTTGAGTTGGGCTTTACGTCACATCGGCATTATTCCAGACATATAGTGACGAGAACAAGTCTGCATTAATATACATTGTAAGTACAAAGTGGTTTCGTTTCAAAGACATACATTCATTACGCTGTCATTTTAGAACAGAGAATGTCATAGCACTAGATTGAAAAGCAGATACATTCGTTATTGACATTACACAGTTACATTTTATGATATAGATCGACTTCCCTCAGGTAGTTTAGTATCAGGTGAGCGCTCACGCTGGAGAACAGATCTTTCAGATTGGTTGCGTGATAATGCGAGTCCCTTGCAGATGTAAAATCCACACAGTCAAGCAGAATATGCTTGACGGTGAGAGCCTCATCGCAGGAGAGACATATGGGGGGTCCATCCCCATCTGTTTTTAGCAGATAGTCATGTGTAAACCGACTATGGCCAATACGACATCGTCGTAAAATTACTTCATCACGTCTTGACTGGCAACCCAAGCAGGTATAACCGACTGTTGGCTTCAATTCATGGAGTTTGTTTCTTCCTACTTGGGTGTCCCACCTTTTTTGCATTAAGTCCCGAGTATAGCTTTTGATAGTGGGTTTGAAGTCACTGTACGGGATTAGCAGTGGAGATAGGGGCTTTTCAAGAGCTGCTTTTGCTGCAGCATCGGCCTTAGTGTTACCTGCTATGCCGACGTGACCCGGCAACCAGCAGAGGATGATGTCATATTGGCTAGTAGAAAGGTCGTTGTACAGTTCTAGTATGTCCAGGATGATTGGGTGACTTGAAGTCAATGAGGGTGAAGCGACATATGTCAAGGCAACCTGGAATATTTTAGCCAACATGCTTGATATATTTAGGTCAGGAACGGAAGAAACTAATTTCTTATACAAGGGGAATCTACCATTCAATGATCATTATATCTCTTGGTCAAATGCAAGCAAAGAAATGCAAATGTTTGATGGAGCTGTATCAAAATATTTGAGTTATATTTTGCCAAATGTGTACACCTTCTCATTTCAGACAGTTTCGAAAGTCAGTGGATCAGCTGTTATGAAATACAACATTCTGAGGAGTGCTCTTTTCTTGACTTGATACATACCACCACTTGCATGATGTTTCCTGTGTAAACTTTGGCACATCTTTGAAAATTATTTTGGCGAATACAAATGAATATACACTAAACGCCAAAAGAAACGTTACCCTCCTTCCTTAGTGACGGATGTACCTATCTTCAGCTGGCGTTGTGATGCGTGGACGTCCACTTCTTGGTCTGTGTACGGTGACCCCAGTCTGTCTGAAGCCCTGAATAAGTCTTATAACCGTGATACGGTGGCATCCGAGGGCGTTGGCAACAGCATTGTATGTTGACCCCATCTGCACCATCCCAATGGCTCTTTCTCTCTTTTCAGATGTTAATAGTGGCATATTGCTCGTACTTGTCTATCATATCATGTATTCTAGGCTCTCTTTATACCCTACAAAATCATTCTACATGTGACATAGAGGCAAATACTGCTTGACTATTGCTGCATTTTGGCGATTGATATTGCTGTGTGTAAACAGAAAAAGGAGAAGTGTTACTTTGCAAGCAAAAATGTGAGCAAAGATTATTGTAGATGTTCCTAAACATTTTTTCCCAATATCAAAGACGCGTTTTACTTGTTTTCAGTAACGCAAATCAGCAGAAAAATGTTTTAAAAGACTGAAATCATGGGAATGATTATTTTACAATTTTACACACTCTACAACAGTTGTTTCTTGTTTTAATAGTTGAAAAATGGTGAATTTAAATGGTTTATCTTTGTCTCAAAGCAGGATTTTATTTCAGCCTTTTTTTTGGACATCTGAATCACTGTTATTGGTTTATTTCGGCAACGACGGACGAACATAGGACAATTTAACTCTTCTGGAAACAAAAATGCATTTCACCTAAATATTTTTTTCGTGATTTACGTAAAGCTGTGATATTAAGCTTTCTTGTAAACTAATACCTTCTAACATATGTTTGATAAGTTTTAAGAAATTCATAAAGGTAGGAGGGTAACGTTTCTTTTGGCGTATAGTGCATAGTTTCTAATACCTTAGGTAAATATGAGTGCCACTTTGTTGCATAATTATATGGGATACAAGTGTATTTGATAGCAGCTGATGGTGCAGGAGGGATGGTGTTTGATTCCAAAAGAAATCATCTTAAGAACAACTCAATATGGGAATTGCCGACATAAGGTCTCACTACGGTACTACAATGTGAACCCCTAACAGTCTACAGTGTCAAAACAGTATCTTTCAAATGTTCAAATTATTGAGAAGCTTCAAGCTGTTTTCAGATCATGTATTACTTGAGAAGTTACACTTGGTTAGAAATGGTCTGCAACAACACATGTTTGTCGTAAAAGGCGACAAACCAAATCAGGTGGTGAGGCTCGCTGACTTGGTTGGCGCATGTCATCGTATCCCAATTGCATAGATCGATGCTCATGCTGTTGATTACTGGATTGTCTGGTCCAGACTTGAATATTGAGAAACCGTCGCCATGTAGCTAGAGTATTGCTGAGTGCGGTGTTAAACAACCAACCAACCTTTGGTCCGTTTAAATGTGGTCCAGTATCTTGAATGTGCATCCTGTCCAAAGCTATCTCACTGGATGTTTCTAAGGTCTCTCGTGTCCGAACCATGTAAGCTATGACCAAATTCTTACTGTCGTGTGTAAACTTATTGTAATAGCCTACCTGTGATCTTTGTTTTCATTGTTTCATTCCGTACTCAGCATTGTCGATATATTCGAACCCCGTCATGTTCAAAAGAAAGTGACTCAGCAAGTCAAAATACACCCCGAAAATACATATTTTGATCTTAATACCAAGTAGACACACTAATTTTTCCGGTCACTTTTCGGCATACCAAACAGGAGGAAAATGAGATGCCTCTGTCAGGAACTGTGTGCTAATTGGTTGATGTCCTGGCGTGATTCATTGTATAATCTGGAAGCTAATCGATCAGCCAGAATAATTTCAAACAGAACGTAAGTGAGAGACTGAGTTAAAATTTTACGTATTATTTCAACCACATTGCAACAACACCATGTCCTCGCACAATCACAGGTCTATTCTATTAACAAAGATTAAATGAGTTTCACTAACATACATATTTCTTCATTGTAGTAATATTTACAATCTGGCTTTTTTACCTAACCCTAAGAGCTCTGTGGAAAATTTGAAAAACATACATGATACAATGTTCGTTATATTAATGTTGAATCACAGGGAACTTTATATCATTTGAAGGACGAAATAAACTGATCTGTATCATACGTCACATCGGCATTATTTCAGCCATATAGTGACGAGAACAAGTCTGCATTAATAAACATTGTAAGTACAGAGTCAAAATGAGGTTTATTTAAAAAACATATATTCATTACATTGTCATTTAAAGACAGAAAAAGGCATATCACTAAATTTAAAGGCAGGCAATTTGTTAGTCACACAGTCAAGCAGAAAATTCTTGATGGTGAAAACCTCATCGCAAGAGATACACATGGGGGGTCCATCCCCATCCGTTTTCAGCAGATAGTCATGTGTAAACCGACTGTGGCCAATATGACATCGTCGTAAAATTACCTCATCACTTCTTGATCGTCACACCGAAGACTCGGGTTCGAATCCGCACATGGGCACAATGTGTGAAGCCCATTTCTGGTGTCCCCTGCCGTGATGTTGCTCAAATATTTCTAAAAGCGGCGTTAAACCAAATACAGTCAGTCAGTCATCACGTCTTGACTGACAACCAAAGTAGGTACAACCAATTGTTGGCTTCAGTTCATACAGTTTATTTCTTCCTACTTGGGTGTCCCACCTCTTTTGCATGAGGTCCCGAGTATAGTTTTGATAGTGGGTTTGTGTTACCTGCTATGCCGATGTGACCCGGAAACCAGCAGGGGAGGATGTCATATTGGCCAGTAGAAAGGTCGTTGTAAAGTTCTAAATGTCCAGAATGATTGGGTGACTTGAAGTAACATTTTGAAGTGCTTGAAGGCAAGATAATGAGTCTGTAAAAACTATGAAGTTTTTGGAATGATTCTGCTGTTGAATGTAGGTCAAAGCTGAGAAGATAGCTTTGGCCTCGGCAGTGAAAATGGAACTGTTGTCGGGAATCCTAGAGGAGACAGTCTTGGATCCAATGACTGTAGCACTGGCAACTTGGCTCTCATCCTTGGATCTCTCTGCGAAAATTGATATATGGATGTCATACTTCGAACGTAACTGGTTGTATTGGAACACCAAAGGATTTGTTTCAGACTTTTTTAGTTTAGTGAGGGTAAGGTCGACCTGTGGTTTCACCATCTGCCAGGGTGGCGAAGACAGGAGTCGGTAAGGTGCTATGATATCGAGATTAATTTTAGCTGCAGATATCTGTGGTTGAATTCTGATTCCAAGTTGAGGAACCAGGTTTGGCAGTTTGGGAAACAGGTTTTCATAGAGAGGGTTGAAAACACAGTTGTATGCTGGATTGGACTCATTTGAACGTAATTTAGTGTTATACTGCAGTGAAAGTTTAATGCGGCATTGTTCAAGGGAAGGTTCGTTCGTCTCTGCATATAGACTGTCTACCGGAGAGGTCCTAAAAGCTCCCAGGCAGAGCCTTAGGCCTTGGTGGTGGATAGAATCTAATTTTTCACCATAAACCATAAAAATTTAGAGCGTACCAAAGATCTGTACAAGTGAAGGAGGGTAGTCTGATTCTCCCCTCCCCACTCTATATTTGAAACGACCTTTAGTAAGTCCAGAGCCTTCAAGCGCTTGGTTTTCTGAATGGTTTATGTGTGGTCAGAATGTCAGGTGACGGTCGAATATGAGTCCCAGTAATTTGGCCTCTTCTACTACCTTGATGGGAGTACCATCTAAAGACAGGTCTGGATCCTTGTGTGGTTTGTATTTACAACAAAAGTGAATACAATTTGTTTTGGATTTTGAAAACTTAAAGCCATTTTCATTGGCCCATTTTTGGATTTTGTTAAGGCAGAGTTGTAGCTGGCTTTCTATTGCGTGCATGTTCTTACCACGGCATGAAATATTGAAATCGTCCACGAAAAGTGACCCATCAACACAACTGTTCAAGACTTCAGTGAGGCTGTTAATTTTGATGCTAGAAAGGGTGACAGACAAGATGCTGCCTTGAGGGACGCCCTGATCTTGGTGGAAATAATCCGACAATGTGGAACCTACCCGTACTTGAAATTGTCTGTTGTTTAAAAACTGAGATATGAACTGAGGTAATCTGCCCCTCAATCCAAATTCATGTAAATCTTTCAAGATACCATGTTTCCACGTTGTATCATATGCTTTTTCTAAATCGAAGAAGATAGATACAGTATGTTGTTTGTTGACAATGGAAGACGCACCAGATGGTCAATGGTACTTCGGTTCTTCCGGAAACCACATTAGAGGTCACTAAGGAGGTTATTGGTCTCCAAGTACCAGATTAATCGATTGTCGACCATGCTCTCCAAATTACCACACATAAAATATTTGAAAACAAAAAAGTCGTTTCAAATACAGAGTGGGAAGGGGATGAGACTACCCTCTTTCACTTGTACAGATCATTGGTTAGCTCTAAACTAGGTTATGGCTCCTTTGCCAATGGTGGAGCCTGCAAAAGCAATTTAGACTTGGGGTAGTCTAGTGGGTAAAGCGTTGGCTCGTCACGCCGAAGACCTGGGTTCGAATCCCCACATGGGTACAACGTGTGAAGCCCATTTCTGGTGTCCCCCGCCGTGATGTTGCTGGAATATTGCTTAAAGCAGCTTAAAGCCAAACTCAGTCAGTCAGTCAGTCAGTCTGCTGATTATTCAAGCATGTTGGAATGTCTGGTAGCAAGGTGGCCGATGCTGCAGCTAAGGCTCCACGCAACACATTTGTGGCACCACTTTTCATCCCCTACGCAGACTATAAATCAATCATTAGATATTAAATTAGAGATCTAATATTATTCTTTTGCTGCTGAGATTATTGGTTGCATGATCATAAAAAACATTAAAGGTATTTTCATCAATGATAAAGAATTTAAACTGGATCAATATGCTTATGATAATGAACAATTTCTTGATGGAACTGAAGTGAGTTTTACTCTGCTATTGACACAATTATTACGTTTTACAAAATGTCAGGTGAGAAAACTAATTTAGTTAGATCAAAAGCAATCCGATTGTATCGAAAGCTAAATATGCTGATAAAATATGTAATGATTTGAAATTTTAATGGGTGCTTGGTGAATTTGATGTACTAGGTATTATATTTACACCAGATCTTGAAGACTTATGGGTAATCAACACCAGAAAGAGCCTTGAGGAAATTAATAGACTCTTAGCATCTGGGAGAAAAAGAAAATAACACGTATTCGTAAAATAACAGTAATAAAAACTCTAGCAGTTTTAAAATTAGTACATATTTTCAATTCCTTGCCCAACCCACTCGAAGAAAATCACACTTATTCGTAAAATAACTGTAATAAAACCTCTAGCAGTCTCTAAATTGGTTCATATTTCAATTCCTTGCCCGACCCACCAGCAGTTGGGTTTTTTAAATAATATTTCGATTGACAAGATTGATAAGAGGTGTGTAATAAGAAAAACAATTATGAAAAAGAAGGATTGAGAATGATTGATACAAAGAGATGTATAGACGTTTTGAAATTATCTACTTTAAGACAATATATTTCAAAAGATGCGATAAAAATAACCCATGCAATATACCTGTCAAAGGTAATTTTGGAGCAAAATTACATTAAGATTGAAAATCCTTTAGAACCGGGCAGATAAAGGGATTATAAATACTAGGGATATTTGTGATGAAGCTGCATCATCATTAATAGAAATATCTGGTATCAAAGGTATTTTTCAGGTTATAGATATTTACTACATGTATTACCTGACTCTTGGAAAAACTCTTAACCACTGTCATTTAATACTAGGATGTGATTTTAACAAATGCCAGATCTATTTAGTAAAAACAACTAAAGGCAGAATTTTTTTATGATAAATATATTTCCAATGATATACACCAAAATATTTGTAATAAATGGCAGCTATTATCTCCTTGAAACAAACTTTGTTTGGAAAAATAATTATTTTATTTACAGTACACAGAAAGACACAAAACTTAGATTTCCAATATGGATTTCTAAAAGCTGTTATTTATACAGAACGGGAATTGCTTAACATGAAAAGAGTTCATAGCAGTCGATGATGTTTCTGCAATGATGTAAATGAGAGTGTTTGTTAGGAGACACAAACCTTTTGGAAAAAAGGGATATTCTTTGTGGAAAATCATATATGCAAATAAAATAATAAAATGAAACATTTCAATCATAAATGGGGTCCTCTCTTCCAGTATTTAGATGACTTTAAAATGCATCCATATATATGATCTTTCTCTTTTATCGACTTATGTATAAATGCGATACTGATATAATACATGTACATAGTTTAGCACAGTCTTGTACATGAGTCATTCTCAAAAGGTGCAGCTATTTCTATCACATAAGACAACATAACTGAAATACAAAATCATCAATCTTTACTTTCACAAATGGCAAGATACGCTGTTAAGGTTCACATATCAATAGTATTTGAGGCTGAATTATGTGAATGGGAAAAAGGTCTATACTTTTCAACCACTCCAGAAACAATATCTTCTTAAATAAAAAATAGTGCACAGCAGACACATGATGTTAGGTTTTTGCACCTGGATACATCACAAAATGCATGTCCCTTGTTACAAAAAGTAAAAAAAATAAATAATTTGGTCCTTTAGTTTGTGATAAAAATTCCCAAGTAAGGTTAGATATTGACAATGAAGGAGAAATCAGATTTGTAACACATTGATTAACTTTGACGGTTTTTTTTGAGGTTTTAATCCTGATACGTGAAGAAGATGCATCTTTTGAGATCACATATGACATTGTAATCTTGGGAACCATTAAAAAGATCTTCTTCATAATGTCCGTTTTAATTTAATCATTGATTCATTCAAAGCAACATAGTTGTTAGAAGCATTGTGATAAATATATTTTGTAATTCATCAACAACACAATCGCTGAATTCACGGTGTAAATCCAGCTAAGGCTCAAGCAGTAAGCAAATGCACCATAAGTCCCCATGGTCCTTTGTGTGGTAATCTACTTTCAGTTGTTAACGCTCTATAGCGTGTTGTTTATTGTATTGTCACCTAGATTTTGATCCATACTTTGGACATTAGTGTAATGGAATTAACCCTGGATACGCATTTGACAGGAGCCGGAACTAACCCGCGTGTAACACACGGATAAAGAATTGATTTTATTACGAAAAGTGGAATGATATAGTATGAATACTCCTGTCCTTTATAATAGGAGGCCTTATTGGTCACGGTTGGAGCCTTTTTGTTGTCATAGATATGACAAGTGAGTGTGGACACGTCATATGCTAAAGAGGCGCCGCAGTTGTATTTGTTACATAGGTCTTCACACATCCTAACGCCATATGGCTTCCTTGTGGTTATTAATGTGACGTCAACAACAGGAATGACAGATACGACGTTGAAGAGGACACAGACATAGCTGGCATACGTCATGCTTAAGCCTTGCTATACCAGTGACAAACTGAAAATAAAAAAATTAAAAAAATGTACTTTAATGTACGGCAATTGGAATCAAGCATTGTATATTCTGTCATCAAACAATTGGTGGAGACAATTGTTAGGTAATGTTTAACACTCTCCTCATTTCAAATAAATAATAATTCAAAACCTGAGACATTATTTTTCGCTAGCAGCTTTCAAATAATTTGGTAATAAAACAACCCATCGTATCACATCGTCTGTTCTTTCCTCTAGAATCAACGCAAAAATATGAACTTGATTGTTGGGAGATCATTAAGTGTGATTATTTCATTCAATTGAGACTTTTGGGCTTAGTAGTTCATAGTTACTCTTCTCCTACAGGGTATTTCAGAGTGAAAAAAAAACAAAAATTGAAAATTGTGAACCATACTTATTTTACTCCTGGTTCAAAAGATGTCTCTTCAGATAAGCTGTTAAACATACATAAAGCATCTACCCTAATGGGAGAAAATGCGTTCATAATTGGTGATTTGCCGAATGTGAAGCTGATACGTTTTCGTTTTTCATGAAAATAGTATGATAAGGGGAGAATAATGAATACTTAGAACAAAACAAACCTAAGCCATTCTCAAAATAGAACGTAGTGATCTGAGAACAGAATAAAGGTAGAAGCAAGTATAAATCGATAACAATCTAACTATGATAAGACAATCGTTTTTCTTACAAATGTATGCACTATGCCGTATCGCCAGGAATATTTGATCCCAGATTGTCAAAGTCACGACTGATCAATGTCTTTATTCCACTGTAATGAAATTATTCATATGTAAAATTTTGGTGTTTGTATAAAGGGCGACCAATTTAAAAATCGAAGGCAGAATAGATATCATTACTCCAGAGTAAAATAACATGCAATTCAGGGAAGTTTGGTAGTCCAAGTACTGTCAGGCTGGTCATGCTGGTTATGCTCACCATCAGTTCAGGTACCCTTGCTAAGGTTCAACAAGAAGACAACGTCATCAATATCCCCCTCAATGGCAAAATACTCTTCATGATTATGTCTACGAGTTATGATTATGTCAAATAATTAGGTGTGTATATAGAAAAGTGGAAGGAGAGCATTGAAAGGTTCTTAAGGTTCTGCTCCAGAAAGGGGCACTATCACCAATTTCAGTCTAAGTCAAAATTGTTGCCATGGAAACGCCAAAAATATTTTATTCAGAATTCCAAAACTACCAAAAGGCACCAGTACACCACCAGATAAATCTATGTGCCAAGTTTGATGAAGAAACATTGAACGCTTTCAGAGTTCTGCTCCGGAAAAGACAAATGTGCACGGACGGACGGACGCACGGACGGAGTCCATTTTAATACCCCCCGCAAAACGCGTTGCAGGGGATAACTATGGAGCGATCCCTGGGAGAAGTCCTATTTGCTATCTGGGCAGCATGTAGAGAGAGCAAAGGTACCTCAACTGATGATGAGCCTAACCAGCTAGACAGCACCTGGTTTGACCTCACAAGACCTTTCTTGGTGAAGTGAGTGAGTGAGTAAGTACAGGCACAGGTCCTTCCATTGTACAGGTCATGGGTTCGATCTTAATTAGAATGTGGGTTCATTGTTGATGGTGGGGCCTGCTAAAGCAACGTAGAACAAAATAGATTCTATCCACCACGAAGGCCTTAGGCTCTGTCTCGGAGCTTTTAGGGCCTCTCTGGTAAACAATCTCAATGTTGAGGTTAACGAACCTTCCCTTGAACAACGCTACATCAAACTGTCACTGCAGTATGTCACAAAATAACGTTTAAATCAGTCCAATTCCAGCATACAATTGCATTTCTAACCCTCTCTGTGAAAACCTGTTTCCCAATTTGCCATGCCTTGTTCCATTATTTTGAATCAAAATTCAACCACACATATCTGCAGCTATCATTGATCTCAATATCATAGCACCTTACAGACTTCTGTCTTCGCCACCCTGGCCATAGTCGGTTTACTCATGACTATCTGCTGAAAACGGCTGGAGATGGACTCTTTATGTGTGTCTCTTACTGTAATAGGGTGAAGCAAAAGCAGTAATAAGGTGAAATAAAAGCATTTATATTAACTTCATATGTTGCGTTATTTTTATCTAAATGTATATACATCTGTGTTGTTTGGGGTTCAACAGAGGTTCATTGTGTTCACAATGAGCAGTTGTCGGCAAGTAGTGTTTTAAGTGCTTAATGCAGGTATCTGTTTTGGATCATTCCATTGCAAGGTCATAGGGCAATTAGGTTATTCTATCCTTCTGTCAGTAATGTGATTTGTAAAGATCACCCGGTTGATTGGGATTGGCTTATTTCAAATCATAGGCCATCAGCCATTTTCACTTGCATGGCTGGAATAATGCCGATGTGACGTAAAGCCCAACTCAACTCAACTCAGTAAAGCATTATTAATGGTGTAATTAGCAAATGTACGAACGCTCTTATAAAAGAATGTGTGTATGAGTGAGGATTTTATATATAACTCTATATTACAAGTTTGATTGTATTGTGCATATTTATATATATCACACAATGAAGTAAACCTTTCCTTGTAATTACATTTTTTGTATAAGTTGTGTCTGAACTATTCCCAGTCACGTGACATGTATATATTTTCATGTGTTATATTTGCTTGGCTCAGGTATCACAATCCTGTTGTCTGCAGAGGGTTGACAGCCGGTAGCAACACTCCAGTGTCACCCACAGGGTACGCAGGTTATAATCCATTTCATTATTTATGCATAAGTGATGTATTTCCTTATTGTTGTATATCTGTATTGTTGCCTTGTATCATGTACTTGATTACATGATAACATATCGTAATTTGGTGAAAACATTTGTATGAAACATATATTAGTATATGCATTATTACAGATAGTAATGTACCTGTAAACATATACTTACTGATGTTATGTAATGTAATGTGATGCAATATGTAAGTTTATATTTTAACCCCTGAATAAAATTGTACTTATGATTATACTATTTTTGTGTGTCAACTAATATCTACTGATATCAACTGCTATCCTGCTATCTGCTGATTCCTCATGATAAACGAGTAATATCATACCCGCAGCCTTTATTCTCATTGACATAGAGGGTAAATCCCAGGCCGCAACATTACGATGAAGTGTTCACCATCCAGTATATTCTGCTTGACTGTGCGGACTTTTTCAACTGCGAGGGGCTGAGCCAAGGACTGTCAACATTGGGACGACTGCATAGATCAATTACAAAAGTGTGAAATATCACTGTCAAAATTGGGACTGTCAAAATCGGGACTAAACCACATTATTACTCACCCGTTGAAGATTTCACTGTTTAATAAATAAGTTTACAATGTTATTACACATCGTGTGCTGCCGGAACTATTTGCACTCTGTGACCTGACCCAAGTAACGTGATCAAAACAACATGTCGGCTGTCATTCACAACACATCTCGAAGTGACGATATTTCAGATATTTTATTTGAAACATTTGTTTTTACATAGCTACATCTGCGTACATATTTTATATAATGAAATAAGCTCTGTGAGATACAAATTTAAACTATGAAAAAAGTCTGCGAGTAACAAATATAAAAAACAAACAAAGCAATCGAGCAGACGATGCAGTATCGTTCAACCAAAATGGCTCACAAACTTAGAGTTAATGATTATTTGAAAGTTGATGGTCAATTTAGAGGAAGAGTGCAGTCCATTATTCAACCTCTATGGAGGAAATATGTGTCAAAAATCAACTCCCGCACACCCATGTCCAAGGTGTGGAACATGATTCAAAAGATCAAGGGCAAAGGGTCAAAATCAGGAGTTCACCACCTGAAAGATGGTGACTCCCTTCTAACAAATAAATCTGAAATTGCAAACAAACTCGGCGAAACTTTGGCAAACCACTCCTCCTCATCAAATTATAACCCTCAGTTCCAGAAATATCAAACCCAACAAGAAAAGAAACCAGTCAATTTTAACTCTGATAATGGGGAGGATTACAACGAAACGTTTTCCCTCCATGAATTACGTACTGCCCTAGGACAAGCTCACGATACTGCGGCAGGAGCTGATGAAATCCATTATCAGCTTCTGAAACACCTCCTGACACAGGCCTGGAAACACTCCTAAATATATTTGATGACATCTGGACATCCGGACACTTTCCCCTCGTGGCACAATGCCATTATCATCCCTATACCCAAAACCCGGTCGCGATCATACTGATCCCTCAAACTACCGTCCTATATCACTAACTAGCTGCGTTTGCAAAACCATGGAGCGCATGGTCAACAATCGATTAATCTGGTACCTGGAGACCAATAACCTCCTCAGTGACCTGCAATGTGGTTTCCGAAAAAACCGAAGTACCATTGACCATCTGGTGCGTCTGGAAGCATTCATCAAAAACTCCATTGTCAACAAACAACATGCAGAATCTATCTTTTTCGACTTAGAAAAAGCATATGATACAACATGGAAACATGGTATCCTAAAAGATTTACACGAGTTTGGATTGAGGGGTAGATTACCTCAATTCATATCTCGGTTTTTAAATAACAGACAAGTTCAAGTTCGGGTGGGTTCCACACTGTCTGACTATTTCCATCAAGATCAGGGCGTCCCCCAAGGCAGCATCCTGTCTGTAACACTTTTTGGCATCAAAATTAACAGCCTCACTAACGTCCTGAACAGTTGCGTTGATGGGTCCCTTTTCGTGGATGACTTCAATATCTCATGTCGTGGTAAGAACATGCATGCAATAGAAAGCCAGCTACAACTCTGCCTTAACAAAATCCAAAAATGGGCCAATGAAAATGGTTTCAAGTTTTCAAAATCCAAAACAAATTGTATTCACTTTTGTCGTAAATACAAACCACACAAGGATCCAGACCTAACTTTAGATGGTACTCCCATCAAGGTAGTAGAAGAGGCCAAATTCCTTGGACTCATATTCGACCGCCACCTGACATTCTTATCACACATAAAATATTTGAAAACAAAGTGCTTAAAGGCTCTAGACTTACTAAAAGTAGTTTCAAATACAGAGTGGGGAGGGGATCAGACCACCCTCCTTCACTTGTACAGATCATTAGTTCGCAGTAAACTAGATTATGGCTCCATTGTCTACGGTGGAGCCTGCAAAAGCAATTTAGAAAAATTAGACTCTATCCACCACCAAGGACTGAGGCTCTGCCTGGGAGCTTTTAGGACCTCTCCGGTAGACAGTCTATATGCAGAGGCCAATGAACCTTCCCTTGAACAACGCCGCATTAAACTCTCACTGCAGTATATCACTAAATTACGTTCAAATGAGTCCAATCCAGCATACAATTGTGTTTTCAACCCGCTCTATGAAAACTTATTTCCTAAACTGCCAAGCCTGGTTCCACCACTTGGAATCAGGATCAAACCACACATAACTGCAGCTAAAATTGATCTCGACATCATTGCACCATACCGACTTCTATCCTCACCACCATGGCAAATGGTGAAACCACAGGTCGATCTCACCTTCACCAAACTCAAAAAGTCTGAAACAAATCCCTTGGTGTTATAACAGGAATACAACCAATTACGTTCTAAGTATAACACTCACAGATCCATTTTCACAGACGGATCCAAGGACGATGGCCAAGTTGCCAGCGCTACAGTCATTGGATCCAAGACTGTCTCCTCTAGGATCCCCGACAACAGTTCCATTTTCACCGCTGAAGCCAAAGCTATCTTTTCAGCTTTGACCTACATTCAACAGCAAAATCAGTCCAAAAACTTCATCGTATTTACAGATTCATTATCCTGCCTTCAAGCACTTCTAAATGTGACTTCAAGTCACCCAATCATCCTGGACATATTAGAACTGTACAACGACCTTTCTACTGGCCAGTATGACATCATCCTCTGCTGGTTGCCGGGTCACGTCGGCATAGCAGGTAACACTAAGGCCGATGCTGCAGCAAAAGCAGCTCTTGAAAAGCCCCTATCTCCACTGCTAATCCCATACAGTGACTTCAAACCCACTATCAAAGCTATACTCGGGACCTGATGCAAAAGGTGGGACACTCAAGTAGGAAGAAACAAACTCCATGAATTG